TTGGCAAAGACAAGTCACTATTCAAACCAGCCCTGGCCTTCGTTAAAGATATTCTAATAATAATAATGATAATAATACAAGTCACTTATAGCGCTTTTCCGCGTGCTCAAAGCGTTTACAAGCAAGTTAAGAAGAAAAATAACAAGTGCTAAGCTAGGTGGAATAAGGGCGAGGGGTTAGCGGATTAGGAGTTGAAGGCAAGAGTGAAAAGGTGAGTTTTGAGGGATTTTTTTTAATGACGGGGGGGGTGTTGGCAGATTGGACGTGGCTGTGGAGGGAGTTCCAGAGCCATCTCACATAAACTCCATTGCATGTAACATTTATTTGACACCTCTTTTGTTTGTTGTTTCAAAGGTCTCTACAAACGGCTCAGAGTCTGGAGGAAACCCCGACAAACCCAAGAAGCACTCCCCCAGGAGGAGGCTGCAGCACGCGCTCGAGGACCAGATCTACCGTATCTTCCGTAAGAGCAGAGTCTTGACCAATCAGAGCAGCAACTGCCTGTTCACCGTTCCCGCCAACCAGGCCTTCGTGTACGTGATCCCGACCGTTGACGAGGACCCTGTGGGCGCGTTGCTCAGCCAGCTGCGCTCCACCTGCACCGTGAGTGAAACCGAGCCAGCCGTGGTGGTGACGGGCCCGCGGAGATATCAGCAGATGAGACGTTCAGCGCGACAGACGACTTACAGCGGAGATCCAGCGACTCTGTTGATGGGCGGTCAGCTGACAGACTGCAGCCTGAAGGAGTTCCTCTGGCAGCACGTGGAGCTGGTGCTCACCAAGAAAGGCTTCGACGACAGCGTTGGTCGCAACCCTCAGCCTTCACACTTTGAGCTCCCGACCTACTCCAAGTGGGTCCAGATCGCCTCTAAGCTCCACCAGGTCCTCATCAGCAACACAGAGGAGGAAATAGCAGAGCTTTGGTCAAAGGTTCAGGGCCAGCTGAAGGTTTTGGAGGGTTTTCTCGACGCTGATACAAAGTTTTCTGAGAACAGGTGTCAGAAAGCCCTGCCTCTGGCTCACAGTGCCTACCAGTCCAACCTCCCCCATAACTACACAACGACCGTGCACAAGAACCAGCTGGCCCAGGCTCTGCGGGTGTACAGCCAGCATGCACGAGGCGTGGCTTTCCAGCGCTACGCTCTGCAGCTTCATGAGGACTGCTACAAGTTCTGGAGCAACGGCCACCAGCTGTGCGAGGAGCGCAGCCTGACGGACCAGCACTGTGTGCACAAGTTCCACCTGCTGCCTCAGACAGGTGAGCAGCAACACGGCTTCATATTCCTCTGCTGAAGATTCAAGGCTTTTGTTGTCATGTGTACATAGCTACAGTTTAGTTATGTCAATACAAATCGTGGGTCACAGGCTCCCCCAACAGTGCAATACAATAAAACAGATCAAATAAGAATAGAAATAATGCAGAATAGTCTGCACTGCATCAAGTTAATGCTGGTATCTATCCACAGGGTGTTTTAATATAAGATCTGCACGCGTGGGATAATGAGAAGCAAACTACATGATGGGTAACTGAGAGTGTGGGGAAATGATTCTACTAACAAAAGCAGAAAGCTCTGAATTAGTTAATTATGGTTTTAATTATTTTATTTGTATAGTGAAAGATGTCTATCCCAGTTTCCTAAAGTCTAAGGTAATGTCTTTAAATGTCAGTCTTTCTGTCTTAAACCCAAATATATGCACTTTGATATGATGAAAAGCAGTAAATCCCAAATAATCAAACAATTATCAATAATAAATATTTTATCCAAATTGTTAATGATTGTTCTTGTGTTAATCAATCTATCAATTAACCAACTATTAATTGCAGTTCCAGTGTTCATTTTGATGTTTCTTTATGGATAGACATTTATTAAGACATTCATAACTAGTCAAGATGAAAATCAATAATACAGATGTATAAATTCTGCCGTTGTTTCTGCAGGAGAGAAGACAGACATGGATCGAAACCCGCCCATCCTGAACCACAACAGCAGGGGGCGCTCCACCAGCGCCTGTAACTGCGGCAGGAAGCAGGCGCCACGAGAAGATCCGTTCGACATCCAGGCGGCCAACTACGACTTCTACCAGGTCAGCAGCTTCAAACATCTCATCCTGTTGCTATTTAGTTTAGTGTGTTTGTTTATAGTGTCGTGGACAGTCCCCATTGGTCCACTGTCACAAAAAACAGTAAACACACATTCCCTCAAATTCCTCCAGAATAGAATTTTCTTCAATTCTTGACCCATTATTCTCTAATCTCCATGACTAGATGCTGGATGAGAAATGCTGCGGGAAGTTGGAGCGGATCGACTTCCCCGTGTTCCAGTCCAGCACCCCGGACCCGGCGCCCGCCACAAACCAGGCTCAGAGGACCCCCATCGAGGCCTCCGGGTCTACAGAGGTGGTGGTGGAGAAACTGAAGGAGCCGAGCACCACCCAGAGCACCACCCAGAGCCACACCCCCACCCAGAGCCACACCCCCACCCCCAGCCACACACCCATCCCCGCCCAAAGCCACAACCCCACCCCTGCCCAGAGCCACACCCCTGCCCAGAGCCACACCCCCGCCCAGAGCCACACCCCTGCAGACACCAGCCTCAGCCTGGCCCTCAGCCTGGGTCAGTCCACAGACAGCTTGGGGCCCTATGCTGACGGAGATGGCACCGAAACACAAGTCCAGCCAAAGAGACCCAGTCTTGTGGACCGGCAGCCCTCCACCGTGGAGTATCTCCCCGGGATGATGCACTCTGGCTGCGCTAAGGGTCTCCTCCCAAAGTTCTCCAGCTGGTCTCTCGTCAAACTGGGCCCCGCAAAGTCCTACAACTGCCACACGGGCCTGGAGCAGCCGGGCTTCCTCCCCGGATCCTCCTTCCTGCTGCCCTGGGACCTGGTGATCCGCTCCCGGTCGGAGGAGGACCCGGACAGACTGACGGAGCCTCTGGATGGGGGCAACTCCTCGTGGCCGGCCCCCAATAAGACCCTGGTGGGGAAAAGGGGAAGCACCGGGGGCCTGGGGAGGAGCCGCAGGAGGGACGACATGGCTCGGATCTTCGTGGGGTTCGAGTACGAGGACAGCAGGGGGCGGCGCTTCATCAGCTGCGGGCCGGATAAGATAGTGAAGGTTCTGGGGCCGGGGGGGGCCAAAGACCCCGCCACCAGGGTGCTGAACACCGACATGCCGCTCTACATCCCGTCCCCGTCGCAGGGCCGCGGCATCAAGTCTCACTACGCTCAGCTGACTCGGCTGTTTGTCGTCGTGCCGGACTCCCCGCTGGAGGTCACCCTCAACCCACAGGTAGCTACACCCCCCCCTCCGTGGGTCACTGAAAACTAGCCGCATGTATTCAAAAAGAAAATCCAGAAATTGATATTATATAAAAGATACAAATTGATTTTTGATATTCTTACTCTCACTGTTTATATAAACCTAAAATGATAGACTGTTAATATGTTTGTAAGTGGGCAAACTTACAAAATCTGCCTGTATGCATGTATGAAGGAATTTTAAGTGTTTTGATTCCCTGCTGTGTCTCCAGGTGCAGCCCGGCCCCCCTCCCTGCCCGTTGTTCCACCCGGAGCAGACAGATTTGGTTCTTCCTCCCGATGGGGTCTGGGTTCTGCGGTTCCCTTATTCCTTCTCTACGGACCGCGGGCCCTGCTACCCCCCCAAAGAGAACCAGCCGCTCAACAACCACAAGGTGCTGCGAGGCATCCTGAAGGCCACGGCCGCTACCCCGGCCCCTCAGTGACCCTGAGGGACCTCTTATTTATTCACACTTCCTGATATAGGCCGAGATGTTTGTGAGTCCGTGCCCCCCCCCTGACCCCTTGAATCCTCATCTAAATGTACTGTCAATTTTTCCAGCCCGACATATTAAATCTCTTTTTTTTGATAATGTCAGGATGTCTTTTTTAATCTAAATTCAAACATATTCACGCTCATGACCCCAATTGAAAGTACGTACTTCAGTTCAATCAGGAGAGACTTAGTTTGTTAGTTGATAACATCTTTATTGCCGTATGATATATATATATACGTTTTGGAGATTGGACCCCATCATACTGTGGTGGATTAAGGGGGAGGAGGAGCCGACTAGGAAAAGAGAAACCCCCCGGGGTCTAGACACTGGTTGTGGTAAAAACTAAAGGGAAATAAAAATCCGGAGTGATGAGGGTTCTTCTGGGCTAGCCTGCCTTGGATCTGATGAGACTGGAGGTGGAGGAGGGTTGATTCAATTCTCCTGAACGATGCTGGCAGGGGAGAAAAAAAGCAGATTTAAACATTTGTGCTGTGATAGGCTGTGGAGATGAGACGCCACCGATTGGTTTAGCTGGGTGTAGGTTGCGCTCTTGCTTATTGAAAGAAAGGGCGAGTGAGTGAGAGAGAGAATTGTGAATGAGAGCGTGGGAACCAGTCTTCCTGAAAGAACTTGTGCTGAGCTTCATTTCAGACTGAAGGAGCCATTAGAACAGGCTAATTATGGGGTACAGTAATAAGGCTGGACTCATGTACGCTTTACTTTAAATCCCCGTATTTAACAGTTACTAGCAGTAAATATACATTTAATAAAAAGTCTATACAACACCAATGGAGTTGTATGCAGATTTAATTAGGGATGTAACTACCGGTACATATTATTTTTAATCAATTGCTTTTTTGTTGTAAATAATCAGGAAACTGGGAAATGCCAACCACAAATCGTTAAGACCTGAAGACATTTCATATCATTAAATGTTCCTTTTTGTGCCTTTAAAAAACATTCTGTATTTATGTGTCCTCTGTAATACACATCGGAGCAGATGAAACCAGGAACTTTGTATAAAAAAACTTTAGAAGATTAATCCACTATCACAACAGTTGCTGATATGTTTTGTGCAAATTGAGACCAGCTTCGTGTAGTTTTCTCTCCCAGACTACGTGGCATGAAACGTAGTTGTTTTAGCACTTTTCATATCTGTGAATTTTGAGGACTTCCAGTTAATAGCTACCTGTATTCTGCATCATGTGTCACACAATACACGTACCTACTACTAAAACACTGACTACTACTAAAAAGAACAGACAGACTGGGGACCGGAGTGGAACAATTAATTGTTTTCTGTAAATAAAAGCTAGTTCTTCATTCTTTGTCAGATGTTATTGCTTTAAATTATTTAATGTCAGCCTGAAAGACACATTTCTCATGTTGAAGCATTAAATATTGCATTTTACTTTTTGTCCACCTCTGGGCACAAGTGATTTTGGGTTAGTCTGACTGTGGCTGTAGAGCAGAGAGGAACCAGTTTATATTTCTTCGACCTGTATATTAAGGTTTGTTTTTCTTTCTATTTTGGACTGTACATCCTTGTTACTTTGTTACACACGGAACAACACAAATTGTTCCGTGTGTTTGTGTGTGCCAGGTGTGATTCACCTGGGGGGAAGGGCCACATAAGGGGGGGAACACATCTAGTGTGTGTGTGTGTTTGTGTGTGTGTTTTATCTGATCTGGATGGTTACTAATTCCTTTTCTTTATGGCGGTCATGTTTGACCGGGAACACCATGGGTGTTACAAAGTTGACTAAATCCTCCAAAATTCAATGAAAGTGGTGATCAGCGATGTGATATGTTCAAATGTCTGTTGTGAAGGATATCATAAAGCCTTAATGCAATTGAATGTAAAACAAAAAAGTTATGATTGATGAAAGCTGTAAATCGGTCAGATTTGACCCGAACACAACAGGAGGGTTAATTATAAAAATATTGTTTATGGTTTTCAGTTTTACAGATAAGTTCAATGCAAATAACATTTAAGTGTTTTCAAACTAAAATATTACAACAACAGTTAGGATCTAAATAAAGGATTTAACCAAACACACAGTTATTGATGTGGTGTGTCCAACTATAATGACTGAAAATAGAAATGACTAGTTTAAATATCTTTTATTCTTTCACTGAACCTACCTTTAAGCACCGAGAGGACATGGTGCGTGTTTTATTGGTGCAATGTTCTTACAGTTAAAGGATCCTGAAAGATAAATAAACTGCTGTAAAGGACCATTTGTAGGAACAAGGAAATCTATTAGTGATCTCATACCTTAGT